GAAGCAGTTTTGATGGACTATCAACGAAACGTACCACTTGCAAGGGAACCAGAAGTGCTAAGCACAATGGCAACAATAGTCAATAAATTAGAGGTAAGGCCAGATGATTGATACATGAAAAAATAATTCTACCTACCCTGAGGTTTCGAGTAAAACCAACACAAGCAGCTGTTATATATAATGCCTACAGGTAACCAGGTAAAATCCAAGCAAAAGAAGAAGAAAAAATACATTGGATAGCAGTTTTATATACAGGCACTGTATGTGTTATTAATATTTAGATCCCTCTGTCTGTCTATGTGATCATTGTTCCCATTGCCATCCAAAACACCAGTCCTTACTGGGGTGGCGCTAGCAATTTTTTTTCCTTTAGCCAAATTACTACATTTTCACTGCTTTTTTGTCCAAATGGTTTAAATTTAACTAAAATGAGTCAAATCAACCCTAATATTTTTAGCCAATTTCAGTCAGTTTTAGCATTTGGCTAAATTGGCGAGTGTTAGCGCTACCCCAGCCTTAAAACTGCAATATCATATTTTTGTTTATTTTAATATACATAAGTAAGGCAGGTTCATCTTGATAATTGGCATGATTGGACGTGTGTATATCTCTCACACTGTTATATTATAGAAATAAAGTAATGATCGTAACTGATATTGATCTGCCATCTTGGAACTTCCTAAATAGAATTTATGTTAAACTCGTTTACCCTTTTTTTACAGGGCAGTATAACTAAGGATGTTCCACAGATATTTGATGCTGTGTTTGAATGCACATTGGAGATGATCAACAAAGATTTTGAGGAGTTTCCAGAACATCGAACAAACTTTTTTCTCTTACTACAAGCAGTAAATTCTCATTGTTTCCCTGGTAGGTATCTGGATTTTAAGAATGCAGCATTTGTATTATTATGCAAATTGTACTATTATAAATTGTTGTATCCAAACAAGTTGATGTGTTGGGATGTTTGGCTCATGACCTAGTTAAAATCCACTATATACTAACTATTCAGAACTGAGCCCCTGAATATGTATGCTCTGACAGTGCCCCTTGCTGCAGTGCACAAGATGGATAAATGAATGAAGGCTAGCACCCTAAAGTTTTTCAGCTAGAAAGTGGCTGTTCAGGCTGGTGTCTAGTCTTAATATGCTGAAGGTGCAAGTGAACCAAGACTATGGAGCTTAGCCTTGTGTCACTTTATGATCATTAAGTGACCTGCTGCAGCTGCATGGTAAACAAAAAAGGGGGGTTCGTGGGTTTCAGTTGGTAGTAATACTTAAAATTTGTAAATATAGTGTTGCTGTGAACCAAGTGATATTGTAGAGAAGGTAACAAAGATGGTTATTTAAGGGAACTGTTATCAGCTGCAAGCTGACGAATTAACACTTTTGTTATTATTAACTATTTTTATAATTTTTTTACATGGCCCATCTACTTATTTCGAAATACCACTATTTGAAAAAATGCACATGCCAATCTTGTAAAAGGAATCCTTACATGCAGTTATACCAACATAGACACTGCTAAATAAAAAAAAACTAGTCTTTCATGTTTTCTGTCTATTGCAGCTTTCCTCGCCATACCACCTGCACAGTTCAAACTAGTGCTGGACTCCATCATCTGGGCTTTCAAGCACACCATGAGAAATGTGGCCGACATGGGACTGAGCATCATGTACACATTGCTACAGAATGTTGGGCAGGAGGAAAATGCAGCACAGAGTTTCTACCAGACCTATTTTACAGACATACTGCAGCATATCTTTTCTGTTGTAACTGACAGTTCACAGTCAGGAGGTATGGATATTTATCAGTTTGATGGTCAATAAATTGTACCACCAGTCATTTTTCTGGAAACACCTTGGCTATGACCTGAAACACTTAATATGACATTGTCCTTTTTTCAAAAATTTTAAATATAGCTTTGGCAACAATTTAGAGCATTTTTAAAAAGCTTTTTATGTGTATTATTATCCCCAAAGTGTGTCTTATCCAGCTGGTGGCAGATATCCAGGAGGCATCATCTCCTCTATGATCCTCTTAGAAATGTATTTTCAGCTCGAATTAGATTTTGTATTTTTACATATGTTTTTATTACAGGTCTCACAATGCATGCCAGTATATTGGCATACATGTTCACATTGGTGGAGATGGGCAAGATCACTGTTTCACTTAGTCCAAACCACCAAGCATCTCAAAATGTACAGTTTGTACAAGAATTTCTTGTTAATTTGCTAAAAGCTGCCTTCCCACATCTGAATGAGTGAGTACCAATTCTTGTATTATATGCTTTTTTCATACAGGGATATATCTTTCTATAACAACTCTTCAAAGTTGATATTCATACTGTTTTTATTTGCAAAGATCTATAATTTAACCCCAGACTTAAATTCTGTGATACATTTCTAAAATTGAAATATGTTTTGATGTTTGTTGCAGTTAGTGTTACTCATGTGGTATTTTTTTAAAGAAATGAATTTGAAAGAAATGATGCATTTCAGTACGCAGTTGCGAGTTTTCATTGAAGGGCTGTTCAGCTTTGACCAGGACATTCAGGCTTTCAAAGAACACCTTCGTGATTTCTTAGTGCAGATCAGGGTAGGTGGCACCCTCAGCATAATCAAATTATGATGATAATATGATAAATTAAGTTGAAAATATTGATTTAGTAAAACACAAAGACATGGCATAGTTAAGGTGAAATCAATCAATATATCTTATCTAATTTGATTCATTATTATTATTGGCAGGAGTTTGCTGGGGAAGACAATTCAGACCTCTTTCTTGAGGAGCGGGAGTCGGCTATTCGAGAAGCTCAGGATGAGAAGCGAAAGCAACAGATGGCAGTTCCAGGAATACTGGGTCCTCATGAGGTAACAGAAGACATGCAGGACTAGTCTGTGAATGAACCTCAGCCATTTCTTCATGCCATTCAATGAGAACATTTCATCATTATAGGGCATTCATTTGTAAAGATATTTTCAGACATTTTTTTTTTTGGTTTGGTCCATGTTCTGTGTTGTTTATTAATATTAATCCTAAAAAGCATTCAGAAGCTACATGTATATGAATCAGCGTTAGAATGTTATTTACTTTGAAGAATTTTTCATGTAGATGCAAATATTATTTATAAATAAAAATGTAATTAGCTGCTCCATCCTTTTCAGAAGTCCATATCATTTGTAAATACTGCACAGTATTGTAGTGTTTATACTGGTAGATCACTCATTATTTTTCAAAAAAAAAAAAGTGATCTGTTCAATCAGTTCTGTGTGAGAGTTATGCTTGATAGAAGTTGGACGTCTCACATGCTGATGGTATTGCACAAGGCAGCTTTATGTTATCTATTATCTTCATGCAAATTATATTAAGTGTGTTAAGTAAGATGAGGATTTTTGATGAAGATTTCATGATTATAATGAAATGGTATTCACCATTGGAATTTATTTTGGGGTTTAAAAGTGAGCAAAAAATCAACACTTGAAAAGAAATTTGAACAGCTTAGGATAAGAGAATTGCATATGGGTCTTTTGAGCATTTTAACTATTTGGAGAACTTGAATTAAGAATTAGTTATGTAGTGTCAATTGAAAATGGATAAATTAATGGCTTGCTTTTTACTCGCAGTCTTGGCAATGTGTGGTATAATTTTAAGCAGAATAAACATTTATTTTATATGCCATTGTATGTTATGTGGAGCTACTTAAAACTAGTAAAATATTCGGGTTAGATTTTTGATTATATGACTTTTTCTCTATTCAATCATTTATTGATGAATTAAGTTATTTTGCTAGAATGTCAAATTGTAAATATGCCATAAATGAGTGCTTGATGAAATTTCAGAAGTTTTAATGGTGAGGCTGTCCAACTTTGTGTGAATGACAATTATGAATGTTGTTAGCAGTATCTGCTATGACATGGTACACATTTTTTTTCACCATCACCCGGTAAATGGGTCATTATTTCATGACATTGTTTACAGCTGTACTGGAACACTCATCATGTACTTTTCGATTTGTTTCTTCATAACATTGGCAACATTTTCAAGCACCCATCAAGTCATAATCATTATGTTAGATAATAAAGAGAGTGATGAAATTTGTGTCAAAAGTTTGGTTGTTGGTGAAAAAAATGGTTCTCCGGATTGCACTGATCAGAGTCCTGCTCTGAACAGTATGACCACTGCATCATTGCCTTTGGTAAAATACTTTTTTTAGATGGAAACAAATGTTATCTATACTAAACTTTCCAAACTTCACTAACCTATCTCCTACACAAGAATTGCTTTTGTTCTGTAAACTGAAGCAGTCTATGCCAGTTTAATGAGAGGTACTGTCAGCTCTAAAACCTAAGAGGATTACTTACAGACACACAATGTAGGATTTGAAACCCATCCTAAGTGCATGGATATGTACAGAGAAAATATTCAGGGAAATTGAAGATGTGAATATAGGAAGAATTGACAAATACGCTGAGATATGCAGATGATACAGATGTGTTAACAGAAACCAATTCAGACTTGCGAAAGTAACATGAGTCAATGAAAAAGGAAAACCATACAGAATGGTAATTACAAAAACGAAAGGAACGGTAGGGAACAGAAAATCCTGTGCCAGCATAGAAAAGAGACCCAATTCAAAAGGTCAGCAGCATGGTGTACCTTGGCTACATGAGAAATTAAAAGAAAAATAGAAATGCAAGATCAGCATTTGTAAGCTTAACAAAATTATAAGATCAAGAAACATTAGCATCAATCTAAGGCTGTTTATAATTAAATGTTACATTTGGTCAACACTTTTATACAGCTTGGAGACATGGACACTAACAAAAACAACTGAAAAAAATGAAAACATTTGTAATGTGGGTATATGTATTTTGGCCCAAAATTGGACTTTTTAAGGTAAACAATTTTCTCAAACTTACCAATGGTTATTGACTAAATTTTTTTTTTGTTATTATCTCTTTAGAGGTCATGTGATCCCCTGGCAACCACAGATTCCAGAATTATTGCAATAAACACTGTTTTGGTGGTAAAATAGAATTATTTATTTTCAGTGAAACGTGGATCTCGTGGGAAGGGTTGTTATCCCTTTAAAACACCTTGGGTTCATCTACATTAGCATTTTATCAATCTGTGATATGAGCAAATCCCAGAATAATGGAACTGGAAAATCTAGCGTTCTTCAAGCATTTTACAGAAAACTTTCGTATTATCCAAAATATGATGCCTTGTGATGTCATCCTTGCAGCCCTTTGTCTTTTAAATAATTTCGTAATCTTCCTAAAAACCGACTTGCAGTCGTGACATAGATCCAAGATTTTTAGTAATGGAAAATACAAAATAAAACTAAAGCATAATCATATTATATAAGTATTATATCATTATATTATATTAATGTCTTGCAAAGCTGAATATAATCTTTCATTCACTTGATTTTTAAATTTTCAGTAAATGTGCACTAGTCACCAGAATGGTAAGTTTTTTTGACAACAACAATTAACTGAAATGTTGTTGGTTGATCTCATAATTTCACCAAAATATTATCATTACAAATTTAACTCATATCTTGCTTCTGCAAGACTGGAAAAACCTTTTAGCAGCACTGGAATACCCCATCCATTTGCATTTTCTTGATATTTCGGAGGCAATCGTATTTAAAGATTTACAATCTCCACCTGAAATGAATATCAGCAATGCTGATCAAATGGAAAATATGCTAGACAGTATATGATGTATACATGATTTTAAAAAAAAATCAGTAAACACTTAAAATCTATTTGTAGTTGATAAAGAGTAAACTATTGGTGATAGCAAATGGTATTTAGCTTTTCAATTCCTACTGGAAAATAATAACTGGATAAATATAAAGACAAGAAAAGGAAACTTGCAATGACTTGACACTTATCACATCATTAACAACAAAAGTAATGGCTATGCAGTTTGCAACTCTGTATAATAAAAGTTATGCATGCCAGATGATGGTGCAGTACCATTTTTTGTTATCTTGGTCAGTTTGTTAAATAATTTTTAAAAATGGCCTCAACTGGACAAATATAAATCAACTTTATATCGCGTTTGTCAATTTTTTTTTTGAAAATTGATTCCAATACTACAGGAGATGGAGGAGATAACAACGTATTTCATCTAATGAGTCACACTCCTGCTTCAACATACCTGATATCCTTTGTCTGCAGGTTCAAAGCCAAAGACTTTGGCAAAGAAGTAGAACTCCCCATCTAAGCATTTCTCTATATTTTCAGACTTTCTGAAACCATGTTGTTCTCCTACATATAGATTAGAAATCAATTATTTACACATCTCACAAAGAAATTATATTTAATGTTGAAATATCTCACTCTTTAAGTAACTAAACTGAAGCAATTTAAAAAAAAAAATCTTTGATACTTTCATGTAAACTTAATTGCTTTGGATATATAGAAAAACCTGTGTAAATTCATAAAAATAATCAATGAGATAGTTAACCCTCCAGGTAAAATAATACTGTAATATGTTCTCAATGTGATAACAAGAGAAATAAAATTGAACTGAATTGAATTGGAGATGGCATATCCCAAAGTGTTAGATACTCAATGCTAAAAATTGCAGTTATGGCCGCAAGATTTTTGAATAAGCTTTCACAACTTTAAGACATTTTAATGTTCAAATATCAGTTTTAATAATATGAAATGTGTCTTTTTAAAATATTCTACAAAAGTTTACATTTATGAAATACATCATTAAAACAAAGATACAGATACCATGTTGCCAAGTATACTTTGAAATATTTTTGAAACTTAAAAAATGCATCACAAAAATTCTTTATTTGTTCACCTTCAAACAATACATGTGCTGCAGGGATGCCTTTGGCTTTGATTTCATCAAACATAAGTTTTGCTTGGTTTGGTGGAACAATCTAAAAGATAAGGGAGTAAATAAAAGAAATTGGGGATTCAGAGGAAATCTGTCATCTACTCTATATGAATTTGATTGATATCATATTATGAAAGACCAAAACTTCAAAGATGTAAATGTCCAAATTTCCAGTTAGTCTATAAGATACACATAACAATTTGAAACAAGCTTGATTAAGCATGCATTCAAGAAAATATCCACAGAAACAAAAGATGTGTGTGTGTGTGTTTTTAGCAGTACCTCATCTTCATCTCCTTGAAAGAATATAATTGGACAGTTAAATTTTTCAATATGTTTGATGGGAGATCTAGAATCATATATTGGGTAGTTTTCCGGGGTATATGGAGCAATGCAGGTGTCCAAATAACGGCTCTCAAATTTGTGAGTTTCTCCAGCAAGCAGTGCAACATCAGCCACACCATAAAAGCTGCAGCCTGGAAAATTGAATGATCAAAAACCCATAAAGATGTAGCTCCATCAAAGGGAGGCGTTACTTTTTGGAAACTAAAAAATGCATACAATAATTTCAAGTCATTTGCAGTCAGTTTCTGTGCATTTAGATAAATTCTGGCATTAACGAGAGAGATTGCAGTTAGCAATCAGGTAATGGCACCACAATCAACTTCAAAACATCTGATGTTTACTGTAACTTGATTGTATGTACCAAGTTGACTGTAAGCTAATGGTGTGGAAAACTTCCAGATTGTACTAAATAATTATTATTATTATGTGATCCAACTACCAAGCTTATAAATATTTTTGCTCATTTATTAATCTGGTTATTTTAGTCTAAACAAGTCCCACATGTGAACATGTGGTCTCATAGAAAAATTACCTGCTTTGAAAACATCTCTGAAAGCCAGGCATGCCAGTGTGGTGTATCCCCCAGCTGAACCTCCATCAATACACAGCTTATTCCTGTCAACTTTTCCCTGATCAGCCAAGTACTCAGCACCATGACAACAGTCATCAACATCATAAACACCCCAACTGAATAGGAAAAAGCAATTTTGTATTTTAGATCGTGTATTGTGTAATAAAGTGTCAAAAAAGTGGCAACAGCAATGACACCAACACATACGTTGCTCAGACTAGATACAAGCACAGTCTACACATAAAAAGTTTACAAACTTTAGAGGTCTACCTACACTTTATTCAATGTCTTGAACAGAGCACTTTGAATACATTAATTTAATTGCCTTCTCACTTTCCATTAAGCAGCCCTCTATAGGTTCTCCCATAGCCAGTGCTCCCTCTGTAGTCTACGTCCAATACAGCAAATCCCCTGCTGGTCCAGTACTGCTGCTTCATATTCAGGGCACTGGAGGCACAGGAAGTAGGGCCTCCATGTGCACGAACTAAAAGTGGTGGTAAGCTATTTGGAGGTGCTTGAAAGTCCTTGTTCTAAAGTAAAACACGGAAGTTGATGTGTTAAAAGTATAGACATGAATCAGAAAATTACAATGTGAGTGAACAATTTAGTTTTTTTGTCATTTTTGATGAAATATTACATAATGCTTTACAGCATAATCACAACATGATAACATGGACATTCATAAAATGTAATTAGCATTGGGCTTCAGGCTTATGGGATTTCAAAGTCACAACTTGAAAACATATGTCAGTTTACAGGAGATTACAAAATCTTGAAATTGGCAACATTCTGGCCTACCCAACTACCAGACTCGGCACCGAATGATCCTGAATTCACCGGTAGATCAGACCACACTACCCGTTTTCAAGGTGTGTGTCAGATCGCATTACACAGTATCATGCCCTGAACAAATTTTGAGTGGTGATGCAATGCTTTTCAACCCCACTGAGAATCGTCACTATCACATCGCGTACTAGGCAAGAGCGGTGTCGCGTCTGATACTGTGTAATGCGATCTGACACACACCTTGAAAACGGGTAGTGTGGTCTGATCTACCGGTGAATTCAGAATCATTTGGTGCCGAGTCTGGTAGTTGGGTAGGCCTGCCATTGACATGATGTAAAATGTTTTTTATAGGTAGCTTTATACCAAATTATTCATTCCTTTTCCATATGCAAGTTATTTTATGGAGTGAAATAGACATGAAGTGGAAAAATTAGTGTAAATATCATTCACTTCATGTTTCTACCACAAAATTTTTTTTAAAACTTCATGGTAGTTCATAGCTCCTTCACACCAATTTTAAAAAAAGCAGTCAAATTGTCCAGGAGGAAAAATAATATTTGCCATTTTATAAATGACCATTACCTTAGGAAGATAAAAGTATCCATATACTGACTGTCCTCCGGCAGTTGGCCAAGTAATTTTTTCTGGTATGCTGATGTATCCACGGTCCACAGGGAGCTTTGCAGACTCCTTACATATGTCTACCTACAGAAGACAAAAAAGTGACTGCTTCTCTGATTATTTGGAACAAATAACACTATGCTAAGTAACACAGTTCCAAAATGGTTCATGCTTATATATATATATATATATATATATATATATAACAATTCTTATTTTAAAGACCCATCTGATGTAAATTTTTTGCCATAAAACCTGACCAAATGGAACTGTATACTTTCAATTAGCATAACCAAAAAATATTGTTACATATTTCCTAGTAGAAGTGGTTTTTGTTACAGGGAATCAACACTCACTTCATGTATCTTTAATAAATAATAGTAAGAATTGATTTAATTATGTAATTAATAAATATTTAATAATAATGAGAAATGGGTAAATTAATAACTTAATTAATAAGCAATTAATAATTTTGAGAATTATGACGAAATTTAAAACTGTTCAATTTCTACACAGTAAGCTGAAAGCATACCTGAGAGCTTATGCCCCAACACTTGGGACTTAATCAGTCACACTGAAGTTATGTGTATAGTGAACAGCTGTGAGACAGGTTGTGCCTCACGAGCAACTTGCTACAAACAACAAACTATAAATTTGCTTATCTAGCCGTTCAGTACATGACCTATTCTTACCTTCATGAATTCTTACCTTCCCAGATTCAGCATTGACTCGAATTACACATGGGAATTGTGTTGGGCTGGACGCAATACAACAAATATGTCCATCATGTAGGTAGTTGACATAAGAATGGTTCTTAAACCCTGTATCCAGAGGCACTGTAGTTTTTGTTTTTGGATCTAAGATGCCCAACTCCTGAAAACAATACAACATATCCTTAAGATGATGGTTCCACCAAACCAATACATACTCCTATATGATAAAAATGTAATCCCCTTGGTTAAAAACTCATAATAAAATTTCACCAACTAGAAATTTACATTTATTTAAGGGTCAGGATAACCCATGCTTGTTCCTCTGAGCATATAAATTTTGCACAATGCAGATCACCATGACCATGTATGCATTAGGCCATTGTACAAATATCTGAGTGTTGATAAACAGTGTACAATCCAAATTAATGTACATCATACCAACCACTGCTCAAAATTTGAAATATACTGTAACAGTTGTCTTTAAATTAGATTTTGCAATGGTCAAGTCGCCCATAAGTTAAGGCTGGTAAACTGACCAATAAGCACATGCACAATTCTAGTTAAAATCTGGTTCAATTATATTCAGCAAAGAGAGACAACAATTGCTATTCAGGTGTGAAACCTGGATTGTTTACAGCATGTGTATCAAAGAATTGTAAAGAAATATGTGGCCAATCTTATTCCAATTTTTGCAACTACTTGTGTTCAAATTAATGCATGGGGAATTAGTTTGTGTACAAGTTCCGGATTTTAAAATTTCTATTTTAATGTGACCTTTGTAGGTAAGCCAAAACTTTGTCACATTACTTTGAGAAATTGATACGGTGACTCAAGGGCGTTTTTTTTAAAGTAAATCTGGATTTTTCTTGAAAACAACTTGTGTAGCATTGTTATACATAGTTTGTCATTGACATGGAACTAGTAGTTATGAGAAATTACTGACACAACTGCAGTAAAACAACATGCGATACAAGTACAACATGATAAAACATGGATGGAAACATCCAACAGATGAGAATATTTTACTTCGTTCCATTTAATAGTTGTTTAACAAGATTAATCTATACTCACCCCTCCACAGATAGTAGCAATTTTACCACTACCACATGGATCCACGGCATATGCATATCTTGCAAACGTCCAGTGAGGATTCCCCACTTCCTCTTCCTTCAGGGACAAGTTAACATGCTCACCAGATGGCACCACAGTGTAAAGGTTCCACCACTCTGTCTGATCTCCAAGGTACAGTAACTGGTTGTCCACTGTCCACCCAGGGTACATCACACTAATTCCCTCACCTCCTGCTACCTGAGAAAGACAACCACTTTCAGTAACATAACAAGGCAATTGGCAAATGTACTATACAGGGCTATGAATAAGATAAGTGCCATGTGCACAGCCATAATTCATTTAGACCTTTAAAAGCTTCAATTCAAACATAACTTTTATGTGAAAAATAAGAATCTGGATTCGTAGGATAGAATATTGTTGTCATCATCACACTGATGCATGCAAATGACATAACTGATAAATAAACAAAAAGGTTAGGTTTGAAAATGGATAAATAGTTCTGTAACATTTTTCTACTTGCACTTTCATTTTTGTTACCTTTTTGGCAGTGCCAGCAACTACTTGATCTCCGATTAAGTCTGCCATCCATATCTCAGTATTGTCCCACGGCTGAAAATAGTTTTGTGATCAATAATTGCACAGGGAAAAATCCAGATATAATTACAAACTGACATTCATCCTAGCACATAAATCCAAAATATTTCACCATTTCCCCAAATTATCCATAATTCAGTAAGGGTATATTTTACATAACAAATGCTTGTGTGTCCCTAAAAGTAGTCCATTAATTCTTTACCCACACCAAACTCAGCCATAACTATCCATAGCATTTATCTGTTTAAAAATGATCAAAAATTGGTGGTAACAATACAGGCAACTGTTGTGTAATATTGCATATAAATTGACAAATAAACAAGCTCCCATGCACCCGAATCCCTATGCTTACTAATAATTTCTGTATTTCCACTTAAACAATAATACATATTCAAAAATTTATGATGTTGATGCTGTTAACCATTTTAGTGCACTATCATTGTTATGCACACATTGAGATTTTCAGTGTGTGAATTTGAATTCCACGGGCCTGGAGCTACATGTATATTTCTTATTGTTGGTATTACATGTTGTGCATTATTGAAATTTGGTGTTTATTTTGCTGTTAGGCATATTATTGCATCAAAATCGACAAAATTACCTATTTTGTGCATCATCATTTTCAGCTTTTTGTGTCCCGTTTTTCTTATTGCTGAAAGCAGGATAAACAGTAGATCTAATCATCAGGAGTCCTCTTATTGAGGCAATTCTACAAGTACATTGTAAATTACTAATCTCATACCATGTTTGGATGAAACCACTGCATCCAGCATAACTTTGTACCATCTGGTGACACTCTGGGACAGGAATAGAAGTCTGCTCCACTAGCCTACAAAATTAAAAACAACTATAACAAGATAAAAAATAAACACGTTCAGTTCACATCATAATAAATCATCAGCTCAGAAAGTGATATAATAATTTCCATTATAATTGTCATTCAAAACTAAAAAATTCAAAATATCAACAGTCAAAAGAGTTTAAAGTAAGAACAATGTAATCTTTTATTTAGTTTTGGAATTAAATGACATGTATAAAGAACACTTTGTTACACTATGCATAATAACAACTTATGAATATAACATTTACAAGAATCAAAAAAAGGCAGCAGTTAAAGAAAGAATTTAAGAAACTGGTTCAGCAAAGATGGACTTATTACCAACACTTTCTGTTCCTGTGTTTCTAGATTGATAACAACTACAGCATTTTCCGCCTCTTTCCTGGACTTGTTCACAACACCACTGTGGTCTTCCCGCACACAGAAAATACAGTTCAGCTGCAGTGAAAAGAGTCAGCAAAACAAAGTAAATTATCAGTTTTTCACATGATCCATAGTTTTCATTTATAAGTAGAAGAGAATTTTTTAAATGTAACCGTCCCCACTAAATGAAGATCTCATTGTGATCTACTTAGCATTGCAAGAGGAACATACAATAAAATAAAATAATAAAATGATCCTATACTATACTACAGTATATGCACTTGAAAATGTCCCAAAATTACATTTTTATGTCGTAATATTTTGCAAAGCTTTAAGCCTTCCAGACCAGAATTTTCCCACCAAAATTCGTATTTAACAAATTTTCACAAGGTTAACAGCATTTTCCCTGACTTACCAACCTTTAACCTTCTTTTTCTGACACTCACCATGACTATAACAATTTTAAAAAAGCAAAAAGATCTTAACCCCACTTAAGCTGAGGTTTTCAAGATACACCATTCATTCCACTGACATGAGGTCCAGATATCGTGGGACTCTCCTGCCTTGACCCACCTTATTTTCAAACTATGTCATAATTAAATGGCTGACTACTGAAGTTGGCAGGGGACGGCAAATATGACTATTTTTTTTAGATATCGAGTAAGGACGTTTGTCTGTCAAAATCTAATGCTTATAAAGTTTTTAATGACCTCAAGTAAGTTCAAGAAGAAGCGAGTCATACATTTAGAATGGGTTCAAAATCCTGGCTTGGATTGCTTTAATTCTTCCATTTTGAACCTTTAAAATGATAAAATCTGTCAAGTTCAAGTACCTGATGTCCACATTTCCTTCTGAAATGTCTGTTCAATTATTTAATTAAAATTGATATCAAAAATCAAATCAAAGTACAGACACAACGTCAAGTTGAGCAATGATTCATAAGTAGTAGAAATTTGCTTTTTCTTGAGAGGTACTAGAATTGGCACAAGTATTATGTATATAGAATATGTTAAAGGGATAATAACTCTTCATTTTGGCCAAAAAATGAATTTTCCTGGAGTAAACAACAATTTTCCCATACTTACCAATGGTTAATGAATCCATTTTCACATTCAAAGTTAGTCCCTGGTTTTTTTCTAAAAAGTTTGGTTTTTTGTTAAAATCTCTTAAGGGATTTTAATACAGTATAGCCATCAATGGAGGTCACGTGGTCTAAAGACAAATTCAGATATCAGAATAATAGCTGTAACTGGTGTTTTTGTGGTAAAACAGAATATATTTCTATGTGTTATTCACAATGTTTTTATTGTGAAATATAGATCTCATACGAAGAGTTATTATCCCTTTAAGCTGAAATGAAATAAAACTGTATCTCACTTTCACAGAAAACTGCCCATCAGCATATCTCCAACCACAGCCCTCTGGAGTGAGTGGTTGAGGGGGTTCACTTGGGCTAGTTTGTTTGTACAACCTCTGGTCAGCAAAATTTGAGAAGTATACCACATCATTATGCACAATAAAAGCACCACCTCCATATTCATGGACTCTGGTTCTTGCATTAAAACCTTGGGGGGTCCATTCTTGTATTTCAACTCCACCATCACCTCCAACAGAAGCAGAGCACACAACATATCGGCCCCCTTCCTTGGGTCTCAGCTCAGACCAGTACACTGTAAGATTGGAAAATATATGAACAGAAACTAGAAATTTGAATATCATTTACTTAGTGTTTACAGGCCAATGGAGCAAAAGGACATTACAGGTATTTGAAAAATCAACAAATAAGCACTACAGACTGTGAGACATGAGCCTGTTTTTTGTAACAGTAAAACTGAACATTTATTGTGGTGATAAATCTGGCAACATAAATTGATCTTAGGAACCATCAGAACTCAATCACCGAATTATGTGGAAGAAGTGCATGTCTGGCACTACAGTATATATCCAATGACCCCACCTATAACAGTTTATCAGTATGGGCTCTTTCGGTGCCAATGTTACTGATTCACATTAACATACAGGCAGCATGTGTCAATTCTTTACAAGTACAAAATGTGCTGTTTATTAAGCATACTATTAAAGCTTTAGTTTGTCTGACTGCAGCACAAAAGAATTTAATTATATGATAGCATTTCTATTAATGGTAGACTAATGTGCAGGCTCGTAGCTACCAATTGCAAAAGGGAGCTTCTTTTTCTGAAAAAGTGGACCTTTAGAACCTAGATCAAGTTTACCCAGAGTGGGTCTTTTCCCAGCAAAAGGGGGGAATTCTTTCGAACCCAACCCACCCACCCCCACCCCCCACGGACCTGGTGTGACTTGTGTGGCACCCTAAGATCATTTTGTTTTCTTTTTTTGTTTTTGTTTTTTTAAGCAAATGCACCTGATTTCTTAATCATGTAGCGATTTTACGACAGTTGTGCACTAAGCAATCAAGGTGACAGCCGAGCGTGCTGCAAACTGTTAACAAAATATAACATATGTACATATGTAATGTCGTAGACTCTACGGCTCTATTCCCATAGATTTTAGATCGATCTATCCCCGCGGGGAGTCTCACTAGATTACTTTCAGATAATCCGACTTAAATGTCCGTCCCGCCTACTACAAGCTGTAAGGGGGTAATTAACTTTCGTGTCCGCCAGGCTGACAGCTACTGTATGGAAATGGGGTGTACGTCTCTGTACATGTATGATGTAGCTACCGGCACTGTTATACTACTTAATTAGTACCTGCACTGTTACTTCCTGCAGAATCTACGTGCACTTCTGCGAGTGATATGCTCCCTTCTGATACAATTGCACTAGAAACTGGCGATTTCCAAGACCCATATTCAGCAGTTTTAAAGACAGACATGGTGAATCAGCACACGGAAAGAAGCAAAGTAGGTCTTCACCGACTGTGACATCTCAGTGACATCTAGGTCAGGTCACGTGCGCCAAGACGATCTCAAACTACAGCTGTATCACCAAAACCCAATATAGAGGTGCACGACGTCACAGGCATGCTCTTAAAAATATTTAGTGCACAGATTGCAAACTATGTTTGATTATTTTAGGGTTCCACATAAAGAAGTTTGTGTCAAAGTTTCATTCTCCTGGAACCATGAATAATAAAAAAAAAATTCATATTCTAACCCCAAAAAAACTAGAAAAAGGAACATAGGCCCTACGTTACTGTGAATGCAAAACGTCCAGCTGTGAAACGTTTTACTCACTTTGAAAATTCAATCATCACTGGTTTCGTTCTTTGATTTACCTCCTACAAATATGACGTTGTAAAAATTTTTAATAATCTTCTGTATAGAGCAGTTAAATGTTTTTGAGCGACTTAAGTTTGTTTGTTACTGAATATTAATAAAACTGGGAAAATGCATCCCACCGACAGTAAAATAAGCATTAAATAAATTATTTTTCCCCTCGTGATCCAAATATTATATCAGAAATGTCAAACTATCATGAAATCACAATATATTTTCGGTCAGCAACAGAAAACACTTTCTATTACACCAAGGAGTTTCAACAGACTCTGACATTGAGTTCAAACACGGCCGCGAACATTCATAAAAGAGATCGATCTCAGGGTATCTAGAAGCATGCGCATGCCCAGGCAATATTTTCGAGGAAAAATACAAGAAAATGTGGTTGAGGAAAATCTCAAAAAAGAGCGGCAATAAAAGAAAAGAAAAAATAAAATATTTGGAATAGCTTTAATAAAGTGGTTCGTAATCCTGTGTGTGTGTGTGTGTGTGTGTGTGTGTGTGAGCGCGTGCGGGGGTGGGGCAGTGCAGGCTAAGCCAACAAAGATAATTTGGAAGACAGTCAGAAAATCTCTAGATCCACCCCGTCCAGTGTAAAGGGGGCTTAACGGTTACTGCATTCAACTGTGAGTGGCACAGTTAGACCTTTAGTGTCTTTAATACACATTTGTACCTGTGATTATGTAAATCGCTGCGTCCCACAGAAATAAAGATGTAAATTGGTATTTCAAAGAAAAAAAGGCATGTTGGACTCCGTTCACACGAAAAATCTATTTTCTAAAAATCTATTTTCTATTCGCAGTATCTTGTGGTCACTCCGAGCGCAGCCGAGAATTAATTACTGCTTTGGAAGTAACTGGCTCGCGCTGCCAGTAATTACGCCGCGGGGTATTCAGGGCACATACCGTGATCACAATATACCGCGAATAGAAAATAGATTTTTAGAAAATAGATTTTGCATGTGAACGGTCCCTTGGTTACTCGGTTTATAAATATTGTGATACGTTTGTTGTGTTGCCCAACCGGGCCCAGGTTTTGAGCTAAGTTTGACAACACCGTTTGTAATTAACCTTTTACATATACCTATGACGAATGTCCTAAACTTATATAATTTTGAACGCTTAATTCAAGCGTGGGCTCGAAATAGGACATTACGTTTTAGACTTACTTAGTGGATAACGCAATCCAAAGATTCCACGGTTCGTGTCAGATTTACGTAATGTCGCGCAAAGAAAACCCACATAAGTCCACATAAAGTCTACATAATGACCAGTTAAACGATTTATTCGTTGACGCTCGGTAACTACATGTTCTATGTGAAGTCTCCAACTCCTAACTCGTCAGCTTCGTACTCCGTCGCTTCCAATCTCTTCCTCCGCTGCTTCCTTCTACATGACCCCCGTATATCTCCCCAGGTATCGCTTATATACTTTTATCTACATGTATGGTCCATGACGCAAACTTTAACTACCTATAATTGTATAATTAATTTCTTTACCTCGGCGTTTTACAAAGAGGCCGCCACATTACTTAAGAGCTATTGGACTATAACACATTACGTCATACGACTTCGTACGATCTTTATGTCGGACCCGACACGTTGTTTAAAACTGTGTGAAAGGGATGAGGGAGGTCCGACGGATGGTCAATTTCTTTAGACGGTGTACGCATCGGTGGTTCAGTGGTAGTAAATTGCTCGCCGGCCCGGGTGCGCTTCCCGGCTAATGCAACATAATTTGGACTGGTTTGAATTTCAGATCTCTCATCCTGACACACACCTTGAAAACGGGCAGTGTGGTCTGATCTACCGGTAAATTCAGGATCATTCGGTGCCGAGTCTGGTAGTTGGGTAGGCCTGTCATCTATATCATTTTTGTTCTTCCTGATTTTAAAAATATGTTGTTTACACTATGTTATTTACGTATATTTACAAATATGTATATTTTAGTAAGTTACAACTTTTGACACACACCACAAGCTGAGTGTTGAAAGCGGTTTGTTTGAATGGTAGCATGGTAGCAGTAGAAAGCTAAGGGAGGGGGTGGCGGGCGGGAGATGGTAAAATTTCAAAGGGTAAGCCTTGGTATTTTTCCAAATACCAATGCACACTTTATTAGTTGATAGGCAGTGTTTCTCAAAAATAATGACGTCTATGATTTCATAAAATAAGTCTTTTATTTGAAATGAAATTCCTGCCTTAAAGAGTTCGTTTTGATGGAGAATTTTGCCAAATATGAGGAACTTGAAATAGGACATCAGTTGGCTGGGGTATCGGCCAGGGGTCCGCCATATAGATAAACGTCATAATAAACATTCGTCCCGATAGATACGTCTCTATACATACACGTCTCAATAGATTTACGTCCCGTTAAATTTACGTTCCGATAGATCCACCAACAGATTCCTATAAACCCACGTATCTTTAATTCCAGGTACCGCTAGATCCAACTATCTGACATCGTAATCGGCTAAAATGCCGATATCAACTTGAGATACAGGTATGAGGCTTTCGAGTGATAGCCTGACTGCGAAGACTGACCCACTTAGTGATCTGACTTAATTACAACCTGATATTTATTATTTATTTATTTATTCATCTATTTATTAGGTGTTCAAACAAGACTTACATGTACGTTCGCGTCTACATGTCATTTACTCTATTCCGCAATGTACGCACGTAACTTCATCAATGTACATAACTTCTATACAGGCGTAATTAACGCCGATTTTTGCACTTTGGGTATGTTTGTCAACCATACAAAAATGGTTTCTATCAAGTATACAAGACAGTTATCAGACAGAATCATTCATGCAAATACCCAAAATAAATCATACACAGTGTAAAATGAAACAAAATAAGAAGGGTTTACTTGTTAAACTCTTAACATTTTTTCATCAACTTTTAAGGTACATACGAACCGAGCATCGGTGGAGCGTGGATTCCCAGTAACACATGTAAACCACTTCTACTAGTTTCTGATACGTCTCAAATAAATTTGACATACCAAGGGATAAACTGAATAGATTTTTGGTCGGAAATTTAACTTACTTTCGTGACCTACATTTCTGCCCCATTGACATACAGCATAGAATGCTAGCAGAAAAATCCGTTCAAACATCATTTTTGGGTAAAATTAATGAATTTTGGTAATTCTCTTACTTACAGGGTTACTACTTAATATGGAATATTTTTTATCATTGTTAATTTTGAGTGCTGATTAAAATTTTTTTGACTTGATTCATCAAAAAAGTATGTCATTGAGTGATAAAAATATCCAGTCTTCTGTTGTGAGATACTTTGGTCAATAATATCAAATCTGACATCAGATGTCATTCAAAAGAATAAAACACCCCCAGAAAACCATATCAACAGTGTGATGTCAGTATTAATTTTAGGCTAAGATATTAAAGAAAATGATAGCCTCTGGACAGTGATATGTTACACAGTCAAAAAACTCATTACAGTAAATCACGAAAAGTCATTAATAGTGGGCGTGACCTCCAGCACGCTTGCAGCGCCCTCATCCTGCATGGCATGCCCTGTGACAAGTTTTTCAGAGTTTGGATGGGGATATCATTCCACGCAGTGATATTTGCATGTCGTAGTTCATCACCATTTACCGACCGATGACCATAGCTATTAATTCTGTGAGTTATTTCTGCCCACAGATTTTCAATTGGATTTATAGCTGGAGAGTTCGCAGGCCACGGCAGTTGCTAAACCCATTGGTTTCGAAGAAAAACAGTGATTCTGCTAGCTCGATGTGGGGTTGGGCAGTCGTCTTGGTACACAAAGTTGTTCCTGAAGATGACTCTTACAAGTTGAAGCATTGTTTGCTGTAGAATGTCTCTGTAGGAACCCTGGTTGAGGTTGCCTCCTAGAAAAACCAACTGGTTCTGGGCACCGGCATGAAATGTTCCCCAAACAGAGACGTTACCACCCCCTGCTTGCACCCTAGGCAGTACACAATCATCGTTTTATGCCTCTCGATCGTACACGTCGAAGGACACAGATTCGACCTTCAACCCTAAAAACTCCACATCCGGCCTCATCACCGAAAACGGCGTGATTCCAGTGTTTTGGCTGCAAATGCAATTGGTCAACAGCCCATTGCAGACGTTACTGTATATGACCTGCTGTTAACAGTGGTTCACCCACTGGTCTTTGTGCAAAATAACCGGCTTGCATCAATCTCTAGTTCACGAGGGACCTTGACACGGGCGTTTGAATGACATTCTGCCACTCTTTTCTGAGGACGCTGGTTGTCTTTGTACGACCAGCACGGCGCACTCTAAGGAGAAGGCGATCCTGTCTTCTTGGTGTGATACGCGGACACCCTGGTCGAGGTATTGGAGTAGGTACCCCTATTGTAGCATTTCTTTTGAGGACTTTACTAACGGTTCCCGATAAATGTTGCATTGCCTGGCAATGGCTGTCTGTTTCTGGTCATTTTCTCTCAGAGCAAGAATCCCATAGTAAGCTGCGTTGCTTAGCTGTCGAACCATATTTTCTCTAAGGCACCTGTCAAGTTTCAGACCCCTTTGTTGCTTCTCTAAATACACTCCAAAGATTTGCAAACCCATGCGTTTTTATACAAGGGCAGAAATTGCCGAAAAGACCACCCCTCACATTACTGACCACAGAACATGCAACTGCATGCATC